GCGGCGTCCGGGAGCCGTTATTGTGGCTCCCCAGTGTTAATTTAAGGGAATTGGAGTGGGTTTCTCTACAGGCTGCCACTTAGCCCCTGGTGCTTTATTGGCCCACAGGAGCCCCTGACAGCCCGTAAACTTAAGCCAACTTTTGTACCATTGCCATTTACTAGGCGCAAGGCAGATCGGGGATCGGTGGCATTCAGCAGCTGCCTCTGGCCCTTGCTTAACCTGTACTACACACTTCTTGGTTGTAGCAGCGAATGTGCTGCAGTGCTTGGAGGCAGAGCAGGCTGGTGATCCGTTGTGTTTCACAGTGTGCTAATGCTTTATACCAAATGACAGTCCCATGAGGAGTTGTGTTCCTTGACTTTTGGAACCAGTGGGTTGTCAGGGTATCGAGACTGGTGCCACTTGGGAGCGAAAGCCCCTGTTAGATTCGGAGAGAGATTCATTTGCTTCGCTGGAGTCCAGCCGGAGAAGCAGCTGCCGTGGAAGAGGCTCTCCGAGTTCCCCCGTGTGCGTGCACACTCCTACCCGTGCACACGGGTGAACAGATAGGTTGGTGCAAAGCTGAGCTGTTCACATGGGACCAGTTCGGTAACTTTAGTTGACATTTCGAAACAATGGAGTCTAGTTGGTCCAGTGGTTTTGGAAAACTTCTTTTCCTGCTGCACGAACTCCCTTTCCGGACGCCTGTTCTTAGTTCCACATCTTATTTGTAGTTAGCATTCGCTTACATTTGAAAATATCTATAAATGAGATTAGCAGACGTGTGGGTCCACTGAGATTGCAGGTAAAACTTCTTAAGTTGGCCCCACAAATGCAGCCTGGTATTTGATCATCAAGCCGTGCTGTCTTAAGCATCGTTCCTTATCGTGCAGATTCTGTAAGCCAGGGTATTTCCCTTATTTCACATGTGGAAGCTCTCCAAGTTCACCGGTTTGATCTTTGCACCACCCTGTGGCTAAGCAAGTGCCGCTTGGGACAGAACTTAGTTATCAAGCTTAATTGACAATAGTTCTAATTATGACACAAAAGACAAAGTTGAGTTCAACTGCCGTGCCTGTCGTTATGGTGACTGTACTGCAAACGGTTGTAAAAACGTACTAAAAATACCTCAAGTCAGCAGACACAACACTGAATAGGCTTGGGGAGAGAATCCTTCTGGTACTGAACTGCTGCATTCCACCGCCCGCTCTCAGGGGAGAGCTGCACTGCAGGCAGGACAGATCCCACCGAGCCCCTCTGCCAGGGTGCTCCTGCCTGGGTGTCTGCGCGTTTTGTCTCTTGCTGTTTACTGTTCCTTTTCCTTTCAATTAGCACAATTCCCTCTTGCCCAGCAGTCCCAATTGCTTAAATCTTTCCCTGTCACTTTGTAGTTTGGTCCACTGCACCCATGTGCTTACAGCCCCTTAGGGTCATCCAAAATTTATATCATAGGAAAGACACTGCCAGCGAAGAGAGAGAGAAGTGTAACTGTGCAGGAGGCAGAGTGATAAATGAGATTCTAGGAGGAGGGAGGGAGAGGGTATTAGTTTCTTACAGCTCCTAGAAATCCGAAAATAGACCAGAACTGGGCCACAACTAACAGAAATCATGACTGCTTGCTGATGTACAGCGGCACCACTGCTGTGAGAGAGGGAGGTTTGGCAGAGGACATCTCCTGCAGCTTTTGTGTAGTTACTAGAGCGAATGACTTGGAGCTGGGGGGACCCTGGGCTCCACTGCGAGAGTCCTTGGAGTTCAGCAGAATGAGGTCAGCTTAATGGGGTGGAATTTTTCAGCTGGTCCGGTGGTTTTCCAGCGGCCTGAGTCAAATTTTCTGAATGCATGAATCTGGCAATTCATAAATCTTTTGGCTTTTATGACCATCAGCCACAAATAGTATCAAACCGCTTTGCATGTACATGCGGACAGGAGGGAATTTAGGGTCAGTTGATGCCACATGAATGGACTGAGAGACTGGTGTTTTCATGGCTGAACTAAGAGGCCTCAGCTTTCTACTAAGGTTTTTAGTTTCTACCTTTTAGCTTCTTAGTGATTGAGCAAGTCTTTAGTCTTCTGGGCTGCTGTTGAGCAGCTGGGAGTTCCCAGTGCTTCTGCTGAAGGCGGTGAGATCAGCAGAGTCCCACGTGACAAACTGGGCACAGAAGGTTGACATTGTGATAATGGCAAACAAGACACATAATTCTGAGTAGAAAACGGTATTTGGCTCCCTAAACAAGGCTTGGCGATCACTGTTTTCACAAATTGTCCTCCCAAAGGATGTGGGTCACTCTGCTTCTGTCTAAGGTATGGGATATGTGTGTTTTGAGGCAATCCCTTATACTCTGATCCCTCTCCCGTGCTAACAAGGTACCTGCCTGGAGCAGCCCACCAGTCTCCTGCAGCCCTTCAAAACCACAGTGTGGGGTGGCTGGGGCACGCCTGGACGTCAGGACAAACTGGTTATCCCACCCGTATAAGAGTTCCTGGATCTGATGGTGTAGACATAGCCCAAGAGAGCTGGTGGGGGCACAGAAAGCAAAGTAGCTCCAGCTGATGGTTTTCAGAAGCTCTTTCTTTGAACACGGATTGGGAAGGGTTCGCATGTCCTCAATAAAACATATCTGCCCTTTTTGCAGGAAGGTGATACCACCATTGGGGTCCTGCTTGTCCCTTTCTGAGAAAGGCCCAGCATGGAAACAACATGGAGATACAAGTTCCTACTTTACCCGGAGATTATTCTTCTAAATTAGTGTTTGGGCACAAATGGCAGGATGATATGTAATTGTTTTAATGTGTAATGGTGTAATCGCTTCTGTCTGCCCCTCTTCCACAGTTCTCACTGGTTTTCTCTTCTGCTCTGCTCTTCTCACTGTAGCTGCTCCAGCATGAGTCCCAGCAGCCTGCAGTCCCTCGGGAGAGTCCCTGCCCTGGCGTGGGTCCTCTGTGGGTCACAATCCCTCAGGGGTGTCCCTCCTTCCAAGAGCGTGCCTCCAGCCCTGTGTTCTCAGCAGTCTATCCCTCCTCATCTCTCCTCAAGCTTCTCCCCACATGTTTCCTCACGTGTCCTCCCCTGGCAGTTGTCCCTCCTAAGAGAGCTCACACGCAGCGTTTGCTTTGTCTTCAAGGAAAGCATTTGGCAGGCAGGCAGGTGAAGTACGATCCAAAACCCCTAGGAGCCAGTGCAGATCTTGCCTTTGAGTTCAGTGAGCTTTGGATCGTGCCATTATGGAATGAATATTTGGCAGAAGGGTGTGTGGAGTAGTTGTGGCTTAAGAGTCAGGCAAAAAGATTTCAGCAAACCAACGGTGACTGGAACAGTTTAAGATGAGTGCAACAAGCCAAGCACGGGAAGGCAAACAGGACTGGAGAGGTCAGCACTGGTGGCCAGGAAAACATCTGTAATGACAGCAATTCTCCATCAGAGTACAGGCGTGGTCGGCGTATTAACAGTGGCAAGTGACCTCTGAGGTGTTCAGCTTTCAGCCTGCATCAGGGCCAGGTTTGTTGGTAATTCATCTGTGTTAATGGTCATCATTTGAAAAGTTCCTGTTTCTCATTTTGGACTGAATGCACTTTTTAAAGTAAGACCTGTGAAAACCTTATCCACATAAAGAAAAACAAAAGGTAGGGTTATAGTAGACATGGGTCTAAAAGTAAACCTTTTGGATGATGACGTGTGCAGCTAATCTCACCCCAGATATTCACCAAAAAGAGAATTAATCGTGTCATTAACAGCCAGAACATCCCCTCCTGCACAAACTTGTTTTAAAAGAGAAAATGTCTAATATTTTTTATTTTACCTGTTCAGAAGGGAAGCCCGTTGTTTTACAACCAGATTGACCTGATGGTGAACTCAAGGCTGAAACGTTCAATACTCTAAGTAATTTTGCAAATTTAATGTAACAAATTTAATCAAATTCAAACTTAACAAATTTAATCACAACTCATCTGAAGCTCCTCTTTTCTTGTCTTCCTTCCAGCTCCTCTTTTCTTGTCTTCCTTCCTTGTCCTCCCTGTCCTGTCATCTGGATCATTCTGAGTTTTTCTCCCAGAATATTTCGCTGCTCCTTAAGGCTTAGACAGATGAGAACCTGTGTTTAAAGAAATCCATGTATTCACTGGGGAGGAATAAAAGTGCAGATGGAGCTATCTGTTGTCAAGGATAACTGGTAACTTTCTGATTAGAGAAAGGGTAGTAAAAGGGATTGGAGGTTCTTTGGGTTAA